ATACTAACAATTCCATTCAATCTAACTATAAAAACAATTCAAAATGTGTGGATAAAATTAAGCCCCGTTTGTTGATTTAATCAAAAAGCTATAAAAATATTAAATAAGTTTAAAAAGTCAAAATTTCATGTCACCCAATCATCGTTTTTTTTTTTACAACTATCGATTTATGATATTTGCTAAATGTGTATGCCATATATACAATAATACAAGTTATGACATTTATTGTATTACTTATTACAAATATCCTAACTTATTCTCACTCATAACTAAAAATTAGGAGAACTTACTTGTAAGTTTCATATACAAAATTCAAAAGACATCTAATTTCAAAACAAATCACTTACATTAATTAGTCCTAAATATTTTTAATTGTTACAAAAAGATTCTATTTTTTTTTTAAAATTTACTGACTTTGCTACATCTCACCATCGTCGGACTTCCATCAATGGTCATCGGAAACTTGTCGGAATGTTTAACATTATCGAAAAAGTTGTCGGAGGTTTGCAAGAGTATCGCTGGAATGTTTTGAACGTCACTCGAAGTCGCTGGAATGTCCAGAACATTTGCTGGATGTTAAGAATATCGTCGGAGATTCATCGGAATGTTCAAAATATTGTCAAAAAAAAATAAATAGAGAAATTATAGCGAAAAAATTAAGCAAGATGTGCTAAATATTAATGATTAACTGGGAAAAAAACATATGTCATTTTTCAATTTTTGTAGTGTTTAAGCAAATAATCTCTAATATTGATCAAATTGAAAAGCAAGCTTTGAAACTATATGTAGAAATTTAATGTATAAAGAGAAATGATTGTATTATTGATTGATATAATGTTGTAGTTGATGGTAAATTCTAACAGCCCCCCGCAAACTCAAGGAGGATAGAAACTAACCAACTTGAGTTTGGAGAGAGTAACAAAACAGAAAATAGACGAATACATAAAAGAAAAGAGGATAGGAGACACTGTATGGTCGTGTCAGACCATTGGTGAAGACACTTTGATATAATGTTGTAGTTGATGGTAAATTCTAACACTATAATACAAAAATCTATTATGAAACTGTATTATGAAACTGTAAAATTTTATAATTCTAAAAAATTTCATGAAATTGAAAAATTTTGCAATTCTAAAAAATATTATGAAATTGTAAAATTTTACAGTTTTAAAACATGATTAATTTCGACACCAAAAAATTTAAAATTGTAAATTTCTACAGTTTTCACCGCCTGTAACTAAACTAAAAAACAACTTGTTCATAATTTGAAAATTTTTTCCATTAAAACAAGAAAAGAGAAGTGTGTAGCAAAAAAAAAAATGCAGAAAAATTGAGAGATCGAAGGATAGAAATAGATATAGAGAGGATTGTATTCCAGTAATTATTTTTGGTTTAGATTTAGTCGGATCTGGTGTAGATTTGAGTAGATCTACATCACATTTGAGTAAATCTACCCATCTTCTTCTTCGGAAACTTACCTCCTTTGTTGTCGGTGAGGGTGAAATAAGGAGTCGGTGGTTAGTGGTTAGTGGTTGCCGGTGAGCCCCAATCAATAGTGGTTATTGGTTGCTAGTGACTATATATCAGAAAGAGAAAGATAAGAAGCAAAACATGATCACGGTCCTCGATCGCCAATTGTTGGAAATCAAGAAAAGAAAGACAGAAGGACGAAAATAGAGAAGAAGAAAAATGCTACAAGACTTTTGGGTATAAACCAAAGGTTGTGGGATTAAATAGGCTGCACCTCTTTCAAAGAGGACTTGTTGGTAATTTGCCCAAGCAACTATAATTAGGAAAAACTTCTTATTTAGTCCATATCGAATTAGAGGGTGTTATTGGGTCTCTGTGGGCTCATTGCGGAGTCTGCTGATCTAAATTGTTGAATGTGTAGAGCTCGTGGAGTGTTTTGTTCCTATAAAAAATTACGTTGATTAAATATCGATAGTCACTTGATCAAAAATAAATTGTTGATACAAATGTATTTTGATCAATTGGCTATCGCTATCTGATCAACTAATTTTTTTTAGAAGAATAAAATATTAAATGAGTTCTATACATTAAACAATTTAAATATATATATATATATATATAAATATTGTGATAAAATCAAGAAAATCCAACAACACTCTCTAACTGAGAATCCAACTAAAACAATTCCTCTTCCTATAAATAAGAATAATGTTAAAGACCTTAAAAATTCTAAAATTTTTTTTATTAAATGTCTCACATGAATGTACCCCAAAAATTCTACCAAAAATTTTATGTGTGAGATATTTGATAAAATTTTTAGTAGAATTTTTAAAATTTCTAACATTTTTACATAAATAAACACAACCTTAAGTTATGATTAATTTTTTTAATTATAATTAAAATAACAAAAATAATTGAGACCTCCATTGTTTAGGACTCCTATAACCTCCAAAATAATTTGAACTACTCATATATTTGTGTGTTTTTTTTTTCTCTCTCTTGATCATCTCTCTCACATGAGTAATATCATTTTGGGTCATAACAATTCTCAAAATTGAGGTCTCATTGTTGTTAAAATAATATGGTCACTGTAATACCGCAATAAGACAAATTCTCCAGAGTATGGGACTTTTCCCAAATTAAGCCAAATTAGTAACTTATTTCCCAAACTAGGCCAGTTGACGGAATTCCCAACTAGGTTAAAACGCTATTACAAATCACACTTTCACTGTTTGTAGCTGCAAATTTGATGAATAGTGAAAACGTTATTATAAACCACGCTTTTAATTAAGAAAGCGTGGTTACAAACCACGCTTTTAAGGTAAGTTGTTTTCTGAAGAAAACGTGGTTCCAAACCACGCTTTCACTGTGCATATATTCTCTGAAGAAAATGTGGTTCCAAACCACGCTTTCAACACTACCCAAACACACAAACACTACACTCACAAACACTCTCTCTCTTCTCTCTCTGTCTCTCTCTCTCACTCTGACACAAATACAAACAAACACAAACATGACTCAAACACACGACTCACACACACCCACACTCAATATATATAAATTTTAATATATATTATAATTTAATATATATAATAAATTTTATTCATAAAATTGAAATCAATATTAAATATAATATAATAATTTATAATAACAAATAATAATCAACTATATAAAATGATTATTTTTTTATTTTAATTCTTAATTTTTTTTATTTTACGGATAAAATTTATTTTTTTTATTTTAGGGTTTAAGGTTTAATTCTTAATTTTTTTTTTATTTTAGGGTTTAGGATTTATAAAAAAAAATAAATTTTAAGAATTAAACTATAAATTCTAAACTCTAAATCGTAAACCCTAAAATAAAAAATAATTTTTAAGAATTAAACCCTAAACCTAAAATAAAAAAAATAAATTTTATCCCTAAACACTAAGGTAGTGTTTGGTGACATTACGTTTTTGGTTTATGTTTACAAAAATTTTATAAACTGGTTTTTGTTTATTTTTAGAAAAACATAAATTACAAACGTATTTGGTTTGAACAAAATGTTTTAAAAAAAATTTAAAACATAAACTAAAAATATGTTGTTCAAGCCTAAAATATCTTATATTTATTTATGCAATGGGATCACACATAAATAATTGAAAAAAAATTAATTAAAAAAAATATTTGAAAAAATTAATTGGAAAAAACGTGGTTTGTAAAAATTATTGAATTTTTTTTTTTGGAAAAATTGTTGGTTTATAAATGGTTGTCTCAGTTTAAAATTTGAGGAAAAAAGTAAACTCAAAAAATGAGTATACCGTTTCAGTTTTCAATTTTTTTTGAAAAATATATTTTTTTCAATTAAATTTTTTTGCAATTATTTTTTTAATTAATTTTTTTTTCAACTATAATATGTGTGATTCCATTGTCATAAATAATAAATATAAACCACGTTTTTTTTCAATAATTTTTACAAACCACGTTTTTCCAATTAAATTTTTTTCAAATATTTTTTAATTAATTTTTTTTTCACTTATAATATGTTTGATCCCATTGTCATAAATAATAAATATAAATATAAATATTTAAGCTTGAACAAACATATTTTTAGTTTATGTTTTAAATTTTTTTAAACATTTTGTTCAAACCAAACACGTTTGTAATTATATTTTCTAAAAATAAACAGAAACCAGTTTATAAAATTTTTATAAACATAAACCAAAAACGTAATGTTACTAAACGCTACCTTAGTGTTTAGGAATAAAAATTTATTTAATTTATTTTAGGATTTAGGGTTTAATTCTTAAAATTTATTTATTTTTATTTTAGAGTTTTGGATTTAGAGTTTAGAATTTAGAGTTTAATTTTTAAAATTTATTTTTTTTATTTTAGGGTTTAAGATTTGGGGTTTAGGATTTATAAAAATAAATAAATTTTAAGAATTAAACCCTAAACCCTACTAAAATAAAAAAAATAAATTTTATCCCTAAACAGTAAAATAAAATTAAGAATTAAAATAAAAAGTAATCATTTTATATAGTTGATTATTATTTGTTATTATAAATTATTATATATATTTAATATTGATTTCAATTTTATGAAATAAAATTTATATATATACTACATTATAAATATATATTAAAATTTATATACATATATTGAGTATGAGTGTGTGTCTGAATCGTGTGTGTGGGAGTCATGTTTGTGTCAGAGTGAGAGAGAGAGTGTGTTTGTGACTGTAGTGTTTGTGTGTTTGGGACAGTGTAAAAATCACGCTTTCTTTACAACACAGTGAAAGCGTGGTTTAGAACCACATTTTCTTCAAAAAATGTATGCACAGTGAAATCGTATTTTGAAATCACGTTTTCTTTAGAAAACAAACTTATCTTAAAAGTCTTTCTTAATTAAAAACGTAATTTGTAATATCACTTTTACTATTTATCAAATTTTTAATTTCAAATAGTAAAATCGTGATTTGTAATAACACTTTAACCTAATTTAAAAATTTCGTCCGAACTAAATGTAGTTGGGTAGGGAAATAAGTAAATTCGCTTAATATCGGAAAAAGCCCCCCCCGGAGTATTCTGGAGAAGAAAACGAAGAGAGAGACAGAATGAGTGAGAGTGAGAGTGAGTGAGACGACTGAAAGGAAGACAGAAGACAGAAAACGCTGAGCGAGAAAAGAGCGAAGAGAGGATCATCATTTCTTGTTCATCAATGGCAGTCACGTCTCTTCTTCTTCTCCACCCGGGTTTCAGCTCTGTTTCCTTCACCAATTGCACTGGCTCCTTCCCTCACCATTATTCCCGTCCTTGCAACCAAAAGCTCTACGCCCACAGAAGCTCAAGTTTCAACCTCCATGGACCCAGAATTGTGGGACCCTTCAGGATTCGAGCCATGTCTGCTTCTTTCGGCTCTCGATTGGAGGATTCCGTCAAGAAGACCATCTTTGAAAACCCAGTTGTTGTCTACTCCAAATCATGGTGTTCGTGAGTCCCCCAACCCAAATCTCTTCAATCTTTGATTGATTTCATTTCATTTGATGATAATTACAGTAACTTTTTTTGGTGAATTACGTTTCAAATTATTATTTTTTTGATTAGATTTGATTTGATTTGATTTGATTTATATGGTTGTTTAATTTTGCGGTGAAGGTATTCCTCCGAGGTGAAATCTTTGTTTAAACGGCTGGGTGTGCAGCCACTCGTTATTGAATTGGACCAAATGGGTGCGCTTTCTCCATCCTTTTATTTGCTATTTTGCAATTTAATCATTGATAATAAGCTAGTGTTTGGTTCACTGGAAATGAACTGGAATGGAATGATCATTCCATCAAAAATTTCATTACCATGTTTGGTTTGACTAAAAAGACAATGAAAAATGTATTGCTAATGGAATCATTCCATAGGAGTGCCAAAGCAATCATCATTCCATTATATTCCAGTGAACCAAATACAGCATAACTGTTAAATTAAAACTACGAGCTTGTAAAGGGCATCTAACTCATCATCATTCAAAAAATTTAGGTTCCTTAATGAATAGATGAAGTCAGACTTTCCTTTTTGTATGTTATTGCTTACTGCATATATAAAGGGATCTATATATTTTCTATAGACATAAATGTGCACCTATGAAGCACATGTAGTATGAGTATGGGTACTGGTACGATACAGGTATATCAATACGGTAAAATCTAGAAAAAGGTAGGGTACAGGTACGACTGGGTATGTTTGTAAAAAATATTTGTTTTTAATTTAAAGTAACACAAAAATTAGTTAAATGACTTAGTTTGTTGAGATCCAACCTACAATTCACATTTAATGTCAAAAAGTAAAGATATAAACCAAAATTAAATATCATTATATTAAATAACTTACAAATTATAACTTACTTTTAAAATCATACTAAGCATTAAAATAAATACATAAATAAAGCCTAATGAAACTAATTTTACTTTTGTATTAGAAGAAAATATTGTTTCGACTAAGGTACGGTACAACTTGGGTATACACTAGATACGTTTGGGGTATGACAAAAATTACCAACCAATCAGCTAACCAAACTAAGCCTTGAGTCCCATCAAATGGGGTCGGCTACATGAATCTTTCGTCTCAACTCGACTCTATCAAAGGTCATTTGGTTAGTCAAATTAAGGAGGTTCATATCTCTATTTACTACACTAGCCCACGTCAATCTAGGTATGCCCCTTCCCCTAATACTTCCATTTACTGTCACTGTATTGCATTTCTTCACTACTGTCTCTGTTGATCTTCGTTGTATATGACCAAACCATCTCAATCTATTCTCTCTCAGCTTATCTTCTATCGGTACTACTCTTACTCATTCACGAATATACTCATTCCTAATTCTGTCTTTTCTAGTCTTGCTATACATCTACCTTAGCATCCTCATCTCAGCAACACTCCTCTTATCCAATGTTGTTGAGATCGGGATCCTACACAGGATCGTTTTGGGGGTCTGTCGGATCGGATTGTAAGATCGGATCGAGGATCGTAAGATCCTACTAAAATGATAAAAAAATACAATAATTTTTATATGACTAACTAATATTATCAAAATATATATAGAATAAGTCCCAAAAAAAGAAATATAACAATTCAAGGTAACATTCAAACATTTTTTTTTCAAAAAAAGAAGTCAAAAACATAATAAAAGCAAATACCAACACTTGCACACCATTGTCATTGTTTCTTAATGAAAAAAAAACAAACTAAATAAAGGAAGAACAAATAAAAGCCCCCAAAAAAGAAATATAACAATTCAATTAACATTCAAACATTTTTTTTTTCAAAAAAAGAAGTCAAAAACATAATAAAAGCAAATACCAACACTTGCACACCATTGTCATTGTTTCTTAATGAAAACAAAACAAACTAAATAAAGGAAGAACAAATAAAGGACTAAAATAAGTCATCATGAGCGCCGAAATTATCATCATTATTGCCACAATCAACATTAATCATTGCCACATCATCATCATCATCACCACCACCCACGGTGCCATCCAAGTCCTCAATGTCTTCACCAATAGTAGCATCTTCAAAGTCATGATCAAAATCCCTTCGAGCATCCATGTTTTGATCCATAACATCATCATCACTTACTTCATGAACTTCATCATGTTCTCCACCAATATGATCACGACCTAAGTTGGAGTAAACAAAAAAATTAAAGTTATAATTTCTAATTAAAACTAAAAGATGTGTACATAAACTTAAAAGCTTGTTCCAAATTCCTTGCAAGGGCCTTCATTTCGTCTTCATCCGAATCACATCCATGTCGAGCATCCCTATCAAGCACACTCAACCAATTTCCTTCTTGGAAGAGTCGGAGTCTCTCTCTCTGTTATCCTTTCATCGTTTGATGGGACATCATCCAAATATAATGGATTCATGATTGCTTGTCTATTCATGTGTCGTTGTCTCAATTTCAAATTGTACATGACAAACACTAAGTCATTCATTCTCTTTTGGTGCAAACGATTCCTCCGCTTTGAATGTACCATCTCAAAAGCACTCCAATTGCGCTCACACCCCGATGAACTGCATGTTAAACTTAATATCCGAATTGCACAGCTCTTCAACTCAGGGCATTCATCACCAAAAGAGTTACACCAATTAGCCACATGAAAGTTTAGTTATAAATTTAAAATTGATGAAATGAAAACAAATAATAAGATATTAAAAATGATACAAATCAACTTATAGTAAAAAAAAAAAACACCTGGAGATTTCTTTTTTCTAGTCATGATTGCATTTTGTATGCCAAAGAGTCCTCTTGCACTCTTGAATGCATCAATTTGCTATTCTATCTTCACCCTCTCATTAGCATCAGGAACCATTCTTTCAAGACATTTGTACAGCCTAATTTTAACCTCAGCATTGGGCTGAAAATTGGGATTGTAATGAAACTGAGGGTTCAAGAAGTATGCTGCAGCATGCAATAGGTGATGGAGTTGGGATTCCCATCTTCTATCAATGATGGTCCATATAGGATTCATAGCTAACACCATTGAATAAAGAGTATTAATAAACAAATAAAAAGTTTAGGGAAATATAGTAGTAAAGTAAATAAGTTTAACTAAATAAAAGTTTACCATGAGAAAACATTATTGAAATTGCTTTGAATTTCCTCTTTTGCACGATCCATTGCCTCGTAAATGAATCCCATCGCCGGATGCTCATCCGAATCCACCAATCTAAGTACTTTAATGAGAGGTACCGCAACCTTCAAGCACATAGAAACACCCTTCCAAAAAAATACGATTATTTAAAACAATATCTTCAATTTTTTTACCCTTTTCTAACCTTGCAAATCGACTATTCCTCCACTTGGATGATGTAAACAAAGAGAACAATGCACTCTTTTGCTCATGAAGGCCTCTCAAGGTCAAGTAAGATGTGGCAAACCGAGTTACCTCGGGCCTAATAAGTTCAATACCTTTGGTGAACTCCTTTATCAAGTGAATAAGATTTGTTCTTGCCACAATTCTTTTTCCTTTTTTAATTGTAACTCGATGAAGTTGGATTTGCTTCTCAAAATCCTCTGACATCAAATCTATACAATGAGCGGCACAAGGCGTCCAAAACATGCTCTTCCTCTTATCCATTAACATTTCTCCCGCCAACTTATAATTAGAAGCATTGTTGGTCACCATTTGCACAACATACCTCATCCAACATCTCAAAAACCTTTTCACCGGTTTTTGAAATGTCGGATGTATCCAATGATGATAGAAAGATAGTTCCATTAGGGCTATTGACAAGAAAATTACAAATTGATCTTCTCTTTCTATCTGACCATCCATCGGACATAATTGTACGCCCGGTCTTTTTTCCATTGTTCCTTGAACTCGTCAAGTAATTTCAATGTCTCACGCACTTCTGTTTTTAAAAATGTCACCCTAATTTCATGGAAAGATGGTGGCACAATGCCTTTTCCATAATCTCCAATTTTCTTAACCATAAGTGGAAATATAGGGTTGTTGACACAATTAAAAGGAATTGCACTAGTGTAAAAAAACTGGGCAATTGTTTGACAAACATCATCTCTCTCTTCTTTCTTAAATAATTGATTGATAGTTTTTTGATTTTGGTGCCAAGACTTGTTCACCACAAATTTATCCATACGCTCGTAATGTTTTTGTTTGTTTTCATGGCCAACATGCAATAATTTCACTTCTCATTAATTTTTCTCTTACATCTTCCGAAACTTGGTGACATGGTTCAACATTTTGATGAGTGCACGCCAAATGGTGTTTTAATCTATATATTTCTCTAGAACGAGTAACATTACAGTATTTGCATTTTACCTTTTTGCTTGCAACATCCATTTCAATGCCGTGTTTCCAACTAGGATTAGATCTGTGACCAGCAGCATTTTTCCTCTTCCTCCCTCTTCTTGAATCAGAGGCTGACATTGTGTGCTGCAATTGCAAATTGTGAAAATTAAAAGTAGTTTTTTTAGCAAAGTTTAGGGATAAAGCAACAAAGAAGAACAACAGTAGCATAGTAGCAAAGAAGAACCAAGAAAAATGAAGAACAAAAAAAAAGAAAAAAGAGAAACAGAACAAGAGAACTCATTGTTTGACAAGCTTAAATTGGTTAGATTTGGTAGTGAATCAAACCAATGAGGGAAGGTACCATTGAAGAAATTTCCATCTAGTTTGAGAGTTTAAAGCTTCACCATTCTAGAAATCTGAGGAGGAACAGAACCAAATATAAAATTTGAACTCAAATCCAAATGTTCAAGTGATCAACACATCATTCATACAAAAATATATATAATATATAATTTACAGAAAAAAAATAATGAGCACAAAAAAAAAAAGTAGCGAATTTGGTATATATATATATAATATACAAAAACAGAACAAAATGAGAGCAATGAAGAAAGAAAAAAAATAGTAGCGAAGAAAGAGCTGAGCAGCGAAGAAGCTGATTAGTGAAGAGAAAGGAAGAGGAGCTAAGCAGCAAAGAAAGAAAAAAGAAGAGAAGATTGAAGAACAACAACAAAGAGAGAGGAAGAACATCGAAGAAAAAGAAAAAAAAAGTAGGTCAGACTTGAAGAACAACAACGAAGAGAGAGGAAGATTAGAAGAAGAAGAAGAAGAAGAAGAAGAAGAAGAAGAAGAAGAAGAAGAAGCGTTCCTAGTTTGTGGCTGCAAATTTTGAAATTTGATGTTGAATTTCTCTTTCCCCAAGTTGTATTGCCCTAATTGTAGGTCCGACTTCTCTGCTTGCTTTGCTTCTCTGCTTCTCTTCCTTTTTTGCTCCCGATTTTGCTTTTAAGTTGCCAAAAAACCCTTCAAATCTGGATCGCATGGAGTCGCGATCCAGATACGATCCCAACGATTCTTTCACGATCCCACCACGATCCTGATCTGGGATCGATCCAAAGCACGAGTCGGATTGAATGATGTATATTGGATCGTAGGATTGTAAGATCCTACGATCCGGATTGCGATCTTAACAACTTTGATCTTATCTACACGTTCTTTCTTAGTCACCTAACATTCCGTCCCATACAACATCGTTGGTCTAATAGTTGTTCTATAGAACTTTCCTTTTAGTCTAGTGGGTATTCGTTTATCGCATAGTACCTCAGATGCACCCTCCATTTAAGCCACCCTGCTTTAATTTTATGGACCACATTTACTCCAATCTCCCCAACCATTGCGATAATCGATTCTAAATAACAAAAACGTTCACTCTTAGGTAGTTCTTGATTCTTAAGCTGCACTTTTCCTATGTTTTCATAGTTACTGTTACTAAAGTTACACTCCATGTACTCTGTCTTAATTCTGCTTATCCTAAATTCTTTAGATTCAAGTGCTTTTCTCTAAGTCTCCAGCTTAGTGTTAACTCCTTCTCTTGTCTCATCCATTAACACGATATCATTTCGCAAAAAGCATACACAATAGTACATCATCCTGAATATTTCTCGTCAACTCATTCATAACTAAAGTAAAAAGATAAAGACTTAAGGTTGATTCTTGGTGTAATCTCATAGTAATTGAAAATTCACTTGTCTCTTCAGCTGGCAATCTAATAGTGGTCATCACACTTTTATACATGTCTCTAATCACATCAATGTAGCCTTTGTCACCGCTTTCTTTTTTAATACTCACCAGATTATATCCTGAGACACTCGCTTTCATATGCTTCTCAAGATCGATAAAAACTATATGAATGTCTCTTTTCTTTTATCTATACTTTTCTATTATTTTCCTCAAAAAATAAATTGCTTTCATTGTTGACCTACCGGGCATAAATCCAAATTGACTCTCTGACATCTCTGTTATATCTCGCAATCAACGGTCCATCACTCTCTCACACACTTTCATTATATGACATATCAACTTGATTCCTCTGTAGTTGTTGCAATTCTGGACATCTATTTTATTCTTATAGATTGGCATTAAAATACTCTTCCTCCACTCAGACATTTTTCTAGTTAACAAAATCTTACTAAATAACCTAGTCAACCAAGCAATCTTTTCTTACCCAAACATTTCGAAGCTTCAATAGGGGTATCATCGGGTCCTAAAGCCTTATTTGATTTCATTTTCTTAAGCGTAATCTCCACGTTAAAGTTTCTAATCCTGTGATAGAATCTGTAGTCTTGGTTTTACTTATTACTGGCTACTTCCTCTCCTTTTGACCTCCTTCAATGTTCTTCATTTAATCGCTTCTCAAAATAGTTCTTTCACCTCTCCTTAATCTCTTCATCCTTCACCAGCACCTTGGAGTCCTCATTCTTGATACATTTAAACTGATTAAAATCTCTTGGTACGTGTTTTGTGTACGGGATACATATGCAGAAATACCATACGAAGTATTGGTAGTACTCGGTACGGGTACGGTATGTTTGTCAAAGTACCCATGCTTCATAGATGTGCACAATAAGAAAGGACATAAACATATTGAGGGTGTTGCCTTACATTTTTTAGTGTTGATATTTTTAAGAAATGCAAAATTCTTTGAAAATAATAGTTTGCCTGCCTCTTTGCATACATGTAGTATATAGTAGGAGTCATAAACTATAATATTTATGGATGTTGATAATTTTGTCAGTGTCTTGTTTGCTTATATAGCAAAAGACCGAAGCTTGAGTACTTTGAAAATATTACCGTATTAGTACTGGGTACTTACCTAGTATAGGCGTACGCAAAATATGTCTCTGGTACAGCTCGGATATGGCATGGGTACGGTATGGGTACGGCTCAGGTATGGGACGGGTATGTTTCAGGTATAGAATGGTTACATTTTTGGTACTTTTGTGGGTAATTTGGGGTGTAAATGTAATTTTATTTAAAAAAAATATAGGGTTTTTTGCAATTATAAAAATATAAAAAATACTTAAGGTTCTATTTTTTTTTACATTAAAAAAAACTTTAATTATTTTTTGCATTTAATTCTTTAATTGTTATATGTCATGTACTACTACAATTACAAACTATAAAATTATATTTTTTGTTTTGGACTGACCAGTAACCGGACTATAACCATATCCTAGCTTTTTAAGTTTTACCATATCTGCGTACATACCTACCCGCACACATGCTTCCTAGGCAAGAGATGTTTTTGTTTCATTAATCCTAGATACCTTCTCTTAAAGAAGTTGTCATCAACTTGTGCATTTACTATCCGGGCAGCTCCTTATCCTTCCTTTTAAAGGTAGGAAAAGAAGTTTTATTAGTGGACTCAGCCAGTGGAAAAATATTTTCCGATCTTTCATATACACTGTTTTAATTCATTTATGTAATTTGATTTTGTACCTACGAATCTATCACAAAATTTTGGTTATGTATACCTTTTGCCATTTGATGGAAGATGGGATTGAAGTAAGCATTGATTTTGCTACCATGATTCAAAATGCATCTCTTTAATTCATAGTTTTGCTTATGCCTGAGAATTTCTTCTGACTTTCAGGTCCTCAAGGACCACAAATGCAGAAGGTTCTAGAAAGGCTAACTGGACAACACACTGTCCCAAATGTTTTTATTGGTAAGAAGTGCTTTTAGAATGCTGAATATTTGCTTCAACATATCTGTACTCTCCTTTGAATATAGAATGTAGTTAATCTTGGTTCTGTAAATCCTGGTTTAAAGCAAACTGTTGAGTTACGAATTCATAATTGATGAACTATCATTCTGCAATGACATGCTTAACAAAGCAGAAAAATGGTTGTTGTCTGAGTGAATAAACCTAAAATACTAGGCTAGAACTGCATGCATACGAGTGTTGCTCGTAAATGATATAACAAGCATTTATTTCAAGACTGATTATATATTATGTTATGGTACTTTTGGTAGAATTGCACCTCTCATGCAGTCCTACTCGCTGCTGCTTGACACTAAGGCCAACTGCTTTATACAACTTAGTATTTTCTAAAGAGGATGTATCATGCTAAGTATTAAAGCTTGCTATTGCCACTGCTTCTTCCCTTAAGCTTTGTCAAAATGTTTTAGAGAGTTGGAAGTTTCAGTATGCTTAGTTGCTCTTAGAATGTAGTTTGATGAGGTATTGGTGATGAATAAATCTGTAGCCCAAAGTGTTTTCGGAGTTTCTCATTGTGATTCTACATAGAACATGATATTCACAACAATATTGCTTACCTTGCTGCTATGAAGCATAGACATTTCAAAAAGGTGCTGTAGCGTGTCCTTTATTTAATTAATTTGTTTTCAAGGGACACGCTGAGGACACAACCACTAGTTTTTTCTCCGTCTTCTTTAGTGCTTTTGATGGATATTGAATGTTTATTATTTTTTGCTTAGATTTAAATAATTAATAGATTATCCTAAGAGTGAGTTTTTGTTTTTATTTTTTGTTTTTTGGTTTGGTTTGGTTTGGTTTTGTTTTGTTTTGTCTTTTTTTATTAATTTTGATTGTTTGTAGATATAATATTAAGGGGACATTACAACTCATGGTATAGGATAAATAAATAAATAAAAATAGTAAAAAACATGGGGGGTGCAACTCACAAAGAGGCTGGGTGCAACTCAAACACTGGGGATGTTTGTGATTTTTTTGTCTGTTCGACTGTACTGGAATTCCCTTGAATATTAATCTATATAACCAAAAAAATAAAAAAATTTATTGCCGTGATTGTGTCTTTTTTTTGGAATTCCTCGTGTCCCCTGTCCGCATTCGTGTTTGTGACCATGCTTCTCTTAGCCCTACTGCAATGGATGGGACTTTTATTCTGGTGGTTGAGAGATTGACATATGCTCTTGGAAAATTACTTAGTTTTAATATTATCAATTTTCACGTTAGTTATTCTATTTTCTCTAGTTTCGTGTTCAATTTTCAAGGATCTTTGGTGGGGCAAATATCCACCGAAATTTCTCATTTTGTGAATTTTTCTCCTCATTCAACCTCCTTCCATCCATCCATCTTGGGGTTTTTCTCTCAAGTTGTGTTAGATGTTATGGTTTATTTGAGTCCAAGAGTTTATGGTATTGATTGATGTAAATTGTAATTGTCTATTCATATAAATACATGGGTCTAAGAGGAGAAGCCTAATTTTTTGGATTGTCTTTCGCATTTACCGTATACTGTGTATTCTCATTTTCCTCCTCTCTTCTTTATTTTTCTACTGTAAATTTGACATGGTATTAGAGAGACATCCTCATACTTGAAGATTTTTTCCCCCCTTCTTGTTTGGCTTATTTTTTCCTCGGATTGTAAAAAATACAATAAAATAAAATTCCACCATGATCGACTAAGGATGGGTAGTTCACCATATTTTTCGTTTAACCTTCTACAAAGCCTTTGTTATTTTTTCCATCTTTTAGTGAGTTTTTTCACAACTCTTTGATCAAGCCCATTCAATTTTTTTGCTTGTAGTCAGTGCCTTCCCTTCCATGGGTGCCGACTAGATGTTTCAAGGGACCTTGCTGTCATTTTCTTCGAAGTATTTTTTCGGTTCCACTTCGATTCACATACCGTGGGTTTCAATTGATTGAGTTTGCATGCCATGGTTTTGTTAGATTGCTTAGAATCTGCGTGGTTTTGCCTTGTTTTTGACTTCTAGAGGTGTTACAGCTGTAAAAGTTTTTTTGGTTTTTTTATTTTCTGGTATTGTCGATTTCTTGAGTCATTATTGGCCTTGTGATCTTTTTGCAGTGGTTATTGTTTGTGCTATACCTCCATTAATATGGCTGATAGTAGTAAGGCACCCAAGGGCAGTGAGGAGAGTGGATTGAGTTGTGTTGTGACTCTTGGGGATAGCCCCTCACTTCAAATTAGTCTTGTTAAGCTTGATGGTACAAACTACTTGATTTGGGCTCGCTTTTGTAGTTTGGCCATCACTATACATGTTTGACTAGCTATATCACTAGAGTACTCATGAAACTTGTTGAAGATGGACCTCTGTGTACTCAATGGCTTTCATAGAATGCTTTGGTTATTACTTGGCTCATTAATCCCGCGCAGCCTACTATCCTTCAGTCTTTTCTATTACTGGACACAACTTACCAGATTTGGGCAACTGCAACATGGATTTACTCTTAGAAGGGTGATGATGCCCAGGCATATGAATTGAGGAAGAAGATCCGGACTTGGATTAGAAGGATTGATCTCTCGTTGAGTACTATGCTGAGTTAAGTAGCTTGTGGCAAGAACTTAATTATTACCAAAGCTTTCAGGCTATCTGTTCCAAGGACGGAACTTTGTTTCAACAATTAGGGGAGGAGTACGTTTATGACTTTCTTGCTGGCCTTAATTTGGAGTACAATCAGATTTGGGTTCAAGTGTTGATTCGCTCTTCTTTTCCTACTTTGCAGGAGGCTTAGCTCTTGTTCAGGAGGAGGAGAGTTGGCGTAGTGCCGTGGTGCATTCCTCTAGTGAGGATTGGTCTACTTTGGTTGTTAGAGCTATAACAGGCTTGGGGTATCAAAATGCCGTCATTAAGTCAGAGCCATGACTCTCATGAAGATGGAGAATGCGAGATCTAAAAGCAAGGAGTCTCCTTCCCATAGATGAGATTACCTAGGCCAAAGGAGCTTACCCCAATCGCGATGGAAGGTCCTGAGAAGTTCTTGAGGCTTGGTGTGCGGCATAGTGTAGCTGATACAAGGCTGCTCTGTGACCTTTTATTGGGACACTTAGGAAGCTTGTGGCTTGGTGGTTAAGAGTAGGGGTTCACTGAAGTGCTTGCGAGTTTGGTTGACACAAGGTTACGCTTCTTAAATAAGGTCCTACTGAGTAGGGGTGAAACTAGGAAGAAAGAGGTATTAAGCAAGTCCAAGCAGCCAAGTCAAGTTTAAACAAGTCCAAACGGTTTGGTCAGGATTTAAACGACTTAAATAATTATAAAAATTAACAAATTTATATGAAAATAAGTCAATAAACAATAACACTCTAAATTTGTTTCAAGAACTTGAACTTTGATGATTCACCACTATAAAAATGCAAATTAGAAGTAATATCACAAGCAAAGAATATATTTCACATAATTCACCTAACACATGAACGGTAATGAGTTATAAATTGCAGTGTACACTCATACCAATAAGTGAAATAGAGAAATAATTAAGCAAATAGGGGACAAAGCAAGGGGATGGATGCCAGGGTTAGAGCTACAAAAGGAGTTCAGAGCAAGGGGACAAAGGAGAAGGCTTGGGAAAGGAAAACAGGGGTGAACCGAGGAAGAAAGTTTGTTGATTTGTTCACTGAGAATCGAATGGGCAATTTAAGGGCTGATATGGAGTGGGCGGTAGTCTCTGTAAGATGTGATTTTTCCAGCAGCTGGGCTCAAATTGAAAAGGAATTGAGCAAATATTTAAAAAAGTCTATTGCACTTCGGCCATTTCAAATCAATAGAGCTCTGTTCTGGGTAAGTAATAGAGAGGAAGCGAATTTTATTGGAAACAAGGGACTGAGGTTCTTCAACAAAGGTGTGGCGATTAGTTTGGAAAAGTGGTCAGAGGTGAAGCATGTTAAACCAGAGGTGATTGTCTCTTATGGAAGGTGGATTGCAGTGTGTGACTTGCCATTTACCCTTTGGAATGAAAAGGTATTCCAGTACATAGGTCAAAGATGTGGTGGTTTGTTGGAAGTGGATAGAAGAACTGTCTCTTTGGAAAATCTATTTGAAGTAAGATTGAAAGTCAGAGGCTTTGATTGTGGTTTTCTGCCAGCTTGTATGGAGATCAAGGAGGGAGATCGATCTTCTATGTGTGTCTCAAGCCATTGTCCAAGTCAATGCACAGAATGGGGATGTTTGGCCAACGATCTTCTGGCAACAATCTTCTGGTGAATCTTTCGCCTACGACGAGGAAGACAAAGGGAGGGACAGCCAGGGTGGACACGTGGCGGCTTCGAAGGGGTGCAGAAGTCAAAAGGGCTGGGGTTAGCTCCCGTGCGGTGGCTGAGATGGAGGGAAGATCAAGGGATAAGGGGCTTGGGGAGGCTCCAACTGGGCCAGTGGGGCGTAGTGGGCCAACTTTTATTTTGGGCCCAAGTGATTTTTACAATAAGGGCTAGAGGTTTATGAATCAACAGCCTAGGTTTTATTCTCCAAGAGCTGGGCCAGTCTATAAGCAGCAAATGGTTTGTAATGTTGGGTCTCAAAGTGTGGATGTGGTCTATTCAACTGATTTGGGCCCAGTGGGTCAATTGAAAGGGGTTCATGGTTCGGAAGAGAGGATCCGTGATGCTGATACACCCGATTTGCTTGTAGAGGAGAGACGATCCATTGGGGAAGAGGCTCAGCGCCGTCAGCCGTCTGGGGTGCGAGAGGCTGTGGATGTGGATCGCGAGATGAATTCTTCGAGGACTAATTAGTTTCAACTAACGAGGGACAAGATTCAGCTAGGATTAGCTGATTTCGTGAATGGTTCTGTCGAGGATCTGCAGAAAACAGAGAGGAATATGGAGGAGTGGGTCGATGAAAAGACAGAGAATGTGAACGATGCTGATTTGTTGAGTCGCAAGGTTGATGATGGATGTTTCGAGCCTAACGAAGTGCTGCAAGCTTTGGAAATGTATGGGTCTAAGAC